CCACGCCGCCCCTTTTCGTTCTACCACCCCCCTGAAAAATGAAATCGCCCCCTGGGGGGCATTATCGCCCACGTTAAGAACCACTGTTTTACATAAATTCTTTGTGATTCAATGTATTGTGGAGAATCTTGTGCAGGAAAGATGAGTTTTTGCACAGGAGTTGTAATTATTTTTTGCAGATCAGTGAAATGATCATAAATCATCCAAAAAAAATTTCAGAAACAAAACTTGCATATAAAAATGTCGCCGCAAGGAGAAAGGTGTTTTCTTGGCTTCTTGCCAAAAGCGAGAGGGTGCAAGTTTCATACATCTCTATTATAATATTGCTAATAGCAACTTATGTACTGGGACTTATTTGCAGGATGAAAGCCCAGGTTTCATGGAAATGGCAAGGGAGAAGGACTGAAGGCAAGTAATTCACTAGCAAAAGTAATGTATCAAAATAGATCCAAATATTTTGGCTTACAGTATAAGTGACAGAACTCTTATACATAAAATCAATAAAGTTAACAGTGCAGGGCTTGCTGTGGTGGAGTTCCTGAATGACATCTTCAAGGAATCAGATTAGGTCTTGGCTATTGTTGTTGTGATTGTTTCAACTTATACACCACCCCCTAGTGCTAGAGCACTCTTGGGCATTTTAGAACATAATTATGGAGGCAGCTGTTACTGAATCTTGACCAATCTGCATGATAACGGGAAACAAGATGATTAACTGCAGGGTCCAGGTGGCCAGCCTATCCAGGAATGCCCGAAGAAGAAGGGGCCTGGAGAGCTGGAATCCAATAACCGTATTAGACCAAGCAGTTAAAGAATGAAAAATTATATTCTTTATGATAAAGTAACAACTTATAGGAAACCAGATTTCTACATCAGCTTTTCTTCACTTATAGCCCAACTGCCTCATTCTTTGGTTACACTTTCTTCTCCTCTTACATTCCAGGTCTCCAGGCCCCTCCTTCTTTTAGCTCTCCCAAATAGGCTGGCCACGTGCACCTCCCAGCCTATTTTTCCCTGTGAACATACAGATTGGCCAAGGTTCTGTCACAGCAACTGTTCTGTCACTTTGCCCCACTTTGCCTCACCAAAGATGGTACTAATTTTACCTACCTCGGAAGCATGGAAGGCTTCTTGATTCAACTACCTAAACTTGTTGGGATTGAACTCAGTTCATCAGTGGAGGCTTGAC